GGGGGGTCGAGAGGGGACCTCTTCCGAGTGGTTTCACGGGCCGAGTCGCGCCGGGCCGGTACTTGGCATTCCCACGGGGCGGCCTGCTTTGCTCTGTGACGGCCACGCCCCGCCCAGCCCTGCCCCGCCCCTCCCCGCTCTTCTCCTGCCCGTCGCCGCTAATATTAGACTGCGCAGCAGGGACTCGATCCCCCCTCCCCGCCGTGCCCCTCCTCGCTCAAAGTCGGGAGGTGTGTCTCACTCGCAAAGATGAGAGCGGCTCAAGTAAGTAAGTACGTCTCGTCGTTGTTGACCCTCGCGACGCTGAGCTACTGAGTTCATCTGCCGCAATCACGAGGGCAATTGAAGGTCTCACTGACCCGCCCCAACTGAAGCGACTGTCACAGGCGCCCTGCCCTGGTTGCAGGGCCCGCGCTGCTGCCGCCGAGGGCGACGAACCTCCCGCCTGCTCGGGGAGGTGAAGGTTGTGGAGGTAGAGGGCGCAGCCGGGCGGAGCAGGGCGGAGCCGGGCGCTGCCGAAAATAACATCGCGCGGGAGCAGGTCGGCGGAACTGTGTTATGCGGCTTGGAAGGGAATTAGTAGGGAGGGGAAGTTGCGTATGGAGGCGAGGGAGGGATGAGTTCAACAAGTGGTCCAGCTCAGCTCCTCCTCCTCCTCCTTCCTCCCGGGCCGCGCGTACTCGCCTCCATACAAACACATACAGAACGCTTTACTGCCGTACAGAGGACGGCGGATGCCGCCGACCAGTCGGAGCGGATGGGACGGGGCACATGACACTAATCAGTCCTCTGCCGCACACACGCGCGCACGCGCTCACACACACACACACACACACACACACACACACACACGATGTGTACAGCACACGGGCCGGCCTGCTGGTGCTGGTCTGCCGGCCGTCTCTTGTAGGATTTGTTGTTGTTGCGTCTCTGGAAAAACAACCCGGGCTGCTGCGGAGTATGGCGCGGTCGCGGTGTGCACGGAGCAGTGAACTCGGTAAAGACGAGCGAGCAGAAGCCAGGGCCGGGGCCTGGGGCGATCATCCTGTCCTGCTCTTTTAAAACGGCTGACGAGCCGGGAGCCGTCGAGCCCGCCGGGCGCGGCCCTGCCCGGGCCGAGCCGATGCGCGGCTGGACTCCGCGGCGGCGCGGCGTGCCGTGCGTCACGTAGCGCAAAACGGCGGGAAAAAACAAAAGGCGCAGTTTAACGCTGGGCGCCGCCGTGGAGGTGACAACTTGGCGGGGGGGGAGGGGGGGGCGGTATCCACCGCCCACCACCGGCGGGATCAGAGCCAATCCCGCGCCCGGGCCGCGCAGCCGCGCACGCGACCGAAAAGAGCGCGGAAATATGGGTCAGCGGCCGTGGCGTGACCGCGGCCCGGCCGAGGGCCCGGCTCACATCTTCCGCCCCCGGCGCGGTGCGTGACCGCGGCTGAAAGCGGAGCGAGCTGTCATGTCACCGACAGCAACCCGTGCGGGTGACGCTGCAACCTGCGGGTGCTCAAGCTTTGGACACCGGCCCCAGTGGACGTCGGGTCGCAGCGGAACTAAAGTAGTTGCCTAATGTCGATGGACGGTATCGATTGCCCTCAGACCACGCCAGCCACCCCCGTAGCCGACGACGCATCCAGGTCGAGCCTCCATCGATTGTCCATCCTTTGTCCGGTTCGTTGAACTTTAGTCCGGCAGTCCGCAGCTAGCGTCACGATATTTTCGGGCATCGGCTTGAGGAGGAGGAGGGGGGGGGGACTGTGGTGTGGCCGGTGGTTGAGAACTGACGCGGTGGTGCGGCACACCTCCCAGTGCACTGCGACGTTGTTCATGCGCGATTACGTACCTTCATTTCGGTGCATCCCCCGACACTGGACCTCCGCCGGAGCAGCTCCCTCCTCTGTTCCGCGCTCATGATGGCCGTGCTCTTCTGTCCTCCCTAAATACAAGCCCGGGCCTCACTGGCCGGGTTGGTCCTCACGGGGCGTCCTCACCCTGGACGACACAGCGTGGACGCTGCGAAGCTCTGGCCGCGTCGACGCGTACGTCCGTCTTGGTGGGCCCGCGGGGGTGCGACTGACCAGGACTGGTCTGGGGGGGCTGGACGAGTCTCTGCTCGCGGCTCACGGCGCACGTCGGCGGGCGGAGTGTCGTGGGGCGCGATGGGAAGTGAGGTTAGGACTCGACTGACTGGGGCGGGCGGGGCG